CCAGGCTGCCAGCAGCAACTGGGGCAGCAGTTATCCGGCTGGTGAGTACCCTGTCTTGTCCCCCCGATTGTGTCCAGGGTCCAGCATGTTTCCATGAAACGGGTTCATCTGTTGCCACGGCTGGACGTTGAGGCACAGTGGAGTCTCTCCATGGTTTCTAGGTTTGGAGGTTTTGTTTGCAGCACACCGGTTCAAGGTAATCAAGAGTTATGCGGCATGGCAGCAGTGCTTGCTTGCACAAACTAAAAGTCAGGGACAAGCTGCTGTCCCTTTTGCCATCCTGGGCACCTCTCTCCACCCCTAACCCCCCACCTTAATTGCTGCCAAATATCCTCAGGGCAATTGCAGTGAGCGTTTATATGAAACAGTAAGAGCAAGAATGTATTTTAGACTTTATGTGAGTTTTTTTAGCAGCTGTACATAGGAAGAGGCTGTGCCATGGAACTGTGCCGCTCCGCGTGTGTCACGGTGTCACCCACCGCCCAAAAACGTGAATGCTTCAGTTGTAGAGGAGGGTGGCCCTGAGTGTATAGAGGAACACAGTGAGTCATGGGGAAACCACAGAAATCCTCTTGGTGAGCTGAACGTGCTTCAGAAAGACGAATACAACTTTATCTGTAAGCTGTGTCTTAGATACGCGGCTGAGTCTTTTCACGGTGTGTGATCCTATTTGTGCATTTCTGGCATAGCTGCCTTCTCTTCTTGTCGTAAACCTCTTCTGAACTGCGTGCTTTAATCTGGAAACTTTCTAATAGATTTATAGTTGAACAACTTTTTTTACTCAACTTTTGGGGAAGAAACTAAAAAACCTGTGCCTGCAGTAGGTCATCTGTGTGTGTGTTTTTATATGTATTTGTGTATGTATACACACATATGTATACACACAGAAGAGCTACTCCAGGCATTGTTTTTTAGTCTGTGCGTGTATATATGTGCATGTGTATATGTATTTAAAAAAAATTTTTTTTAAAGCAGGATGGGGTAAGCAAGCTTAGAGGAGCTTTAATTTCTTCTGGTCTTGTCAAGTAATACCATGCCTACTTCATTTGTGAGTTGATTTGGTTATGCAGACGAAGGCAGGAAGGCAGACCATAACAAAACACGCTCTTATCAAATACCTGCTTATGGCACTGTCAGGTAAATCATTAACACATGGTCCCAGTGATTGTAAAAGCTGCTAAAGAGGTTTCTCACCCCTGAAACTCCCTTTTTCCAGGAGGTAAGAAGTGAAGTTACTTGCAGATCTTGGTTTCGTGCATGGGTGTGTGCAGCCGTCATGCTTTCTGTACTGGTTAATAAAGTGATGTAGTCCAGTGGATTAAGCGTGAGAGAGGACCTCCTCCCCATGCACAAAGAATGAAGTGCTTTCCTAAGACAGCGGTTCCAACTAAGGCAGAGGGGGAAAACACAGCATGCCAGGCTGCTTGGTGGGATCAGCTTGTGCATTGCTGTCATGCTGGTGGATAATGCTTTTATTTCATGTGACCAAGAAACTTGTGCTCTGAAGCAGTTTTGGGTGGGGGGGAATCAGTGTTTCAATTCTTCATTGAAGTAACTCGAGGCCAGGACGAGTTTTGCAGAAAACGGTGACTAAGACGTGTGGTTATCCACAAACTGACAAGAGCAGTGTGCTTTTCTGGGCTGTTGCTGGAGCGTGTAGTGGGAAACAGGTTCTCAGACCTGCCTACCACCTGTGCTGCATGTGGATGCGGGCCATTGCGTTCATGGTGGGGTTTCTCTCCCCTGGCCACAGCAGCAGCGTGGCAATTGCTGAATCATATCAGTTTTTGCCACTTACCTACCTGTAAATACGGTAACTCCATTACTGAAACTTAATTTTAAATGGGTTTATGGCTGATCGGCTGGTTTTCTCAGCAGCTTTGTTTCCTGGGATCCTGTGATTCAAATCTGCTTGAGCTGGGAAGATCTGCTGTGGGTCTTGGTGTGCTTAAATCCACACCAGACTTCTGTTTTGCCTGACTTTTGTTTCTATAGGCATGTAAAAATCTGATTTCTCCGAGGCATTTGATACTTATAATCTGTAGAGTCCTGTCTGCATTTACTTTAAGGTTTGATTGATTGCGTTTGCAATAAGACTATTTTGTGGAAGTAACTTGAAGTATAGATAATATGTAGCATATGAAAACACGTTATATGGAGAATAGCAAAAGTAGCCTCATTTTGCGATGTTGCAGCTGTTGTTTGAACAAGAGAAAAAGGGCTTAACTCAAGTAGGGCTTAAGCTATTCTAGTTGCCCACATCTAAGAGCATGACTCAAAACCTCCAGCTAACTCTTAAGCTTCCTGAATCAGCGTTGGAGTTGTGTCTTGCCCTCCACAAGCTGTGTGTGTTTTAGGTGCTGAGCTCTCAGTCAGGCTGTCTTATGTCAAAGGTCTTCCTGGTCCTACAAGGACGTTTTCAGTGTTCTCACTGGAGATGCCTGATTCTAATAAGACCTTTGAGACCACAGCTCAGAAACCTGGACCTCGCTTTAAAAAAAAAACAAACCCAAAGCCAAAAAACCTGTTTCATGCCATTCCATGTGGCTCAATGCCTTGCACAGCCTGAGCTCTGCGCCCCCAGGTTTCCATCTGCCTGCAAAAGCTCAAAACTGCTCTTTCTGCTCAGGAAAGTGCCCTTTTTGCTTGGCTAACTTTACAGGGTGGCTGCACATTGCCTTTTTAAAGCTGAGCTTTTAAAAGCTGTTCTACTGTGTGAGGAGAGAATTCAGGGTTAGCTGTATGTCTGTGTTACACCTGATACCAAGTGCCTGAAGGAGGAGGTATCCAAAACTAGAGAAGATGAATCCAAACCTTTCCCCAAGAGACGTGTTTGTCAAAGGAGGTCTCTGTACTGGAGACATCCCAGCAAGAGCTCTCAAGTGCTGTATCAACTGGTAATGCTGGCTTGCAGAAGGCAGGAGTGGTCCCTCCATCTCTGTCCTGGGAGAGCCGACCTGGGCAGCTAAGTGCAGAAGTGGGTCCACGCTCTAAATCTTTGCTTAAGCCTTTCTCCTTTGAGTGTTTAGGGACAAGAGGTGCTGATTAGGATCTCAGCTGGTTTACGTGAGCCAGGAGAGCGGCAGTCCTTTGGACAACCAGGTCACCACACTCCATATTCAGTAAGAGCTGTCATGGCCATGGGCGACAGGGAAAAGGAAGGCAGTCCCCTTCCCTCTCAGCTACCTTGAGTAGCTACCTGGGTTCAGGGTAGTTTGAGAGTGTCTCTGCTGCCCCTTTTGCACTTGCCACCAGCCTGTGGATGATTTTTTGCCAGGAAAATTGGCCTGATGGAGCACCTGGTTGTCTCCAGCTGCTTTCTGCAGCTGTCTGCGTGGCAGAGAAGGTGGGGGAAATGACTGGTTAAAAATAGAAAGGCAGATTAGGAAACTTGACGTATGGTTTCAACATACAGCCGAGCTGCTCTGACAACTCGCTGCTGCCACCAAAAGGGGAAGGACTTGCTTATGCTTGTGTGACTGCGCAGCCAGCTGGTTCTGCTGCCCAGCCCAGCAGAAAACCAGGAAAAGAGCAATTTTTCTGCCATGCAGTCACCCAAGCACAAGGGAGGCGGGTGGGGATACAAGGCGGGAGGGAGGGGATTCTTCTGAGAAAAGGCTTGTCGAACTCTGCTGGCGCAGGTAACCCGAGTTCAGGTGCACAGGGGCTGGAGCTGAATTCAGGTGAGCAGCTCCAGCGCTTCGCATCGGTAACGCCAGCTCTCCTGCGTGCTCAGCTCGGGTTTAAAATCAGAGCTACAGCATGCACGCTGCCATTTCTAGCTGGGGCTGAGCTAATTCAGGTTAGTCTACCCAAGTTCAGAGCAGAGTGTTAAGGAGATTTACTTTGTTGTTTGAATCATACATGTTCTGATAGTTTATAGGGAGAGTTTGAGTAGTTGGAAAAAAAACACATAAAAAGTACTGGGGCCTTAGTTTCACTTACCAAATGTAAAGGTCTTGCTTGGTTATAATATTACTCTTTTATAAGAGACTTTATTTTGCAATAAGCATGTGATGTGTCAGGAGAAAGGTAGTCACCAGACAAGCCAAGGTAAATATATTGTGTGCTTTGTAAATGGCAAGCTTTTTAAGCATTGCTTTTAGGAAGTGGCCATTAAACAGTGTTTTGTCAGCAACTCTTCACTTGGTGTTTATCGCTGTTCCTCATGGTTATCACTGTTCCTTGTAACTTTGTCGGGATATATTTTCTGTTGCCTTTCCTAAAATAAAGGCTGAAAAGTTTGTTTCCTGATGCTTTTTTTTGTCTTTGGTTTTAGGGGTTTGGGTTTATTTTTGTTTGCTTTCTTTTTTTAACTTTTTGTCAGTCTTGAGAACAGCGTGATTTCTCAAGCTGCTCCTTGGTTCAGATGAGCTCCTGTTGTTGTAACACTCCCAGCCACATGTCAATAACCAGTGAACCATCCAGTTCAGTGCCAAATGAAGAAGGGAAATATCCAGGGGCATTTCAGATATCCTGGATATCCATCCTAGATGGATCCTAAAAACCAGCAAGCGCGCTGTACCAAGTATTCCCTGTGCAGGACATGGTGGAGGTAAAACAGGAATTAGTTCAGTGTAACTAAATAATGTTTAGCTATATAATATTTAGTTCAGAAAACCTGTAACATAACACTTTCCCTGGACAAATTACTTGAAGACAAACAGCATTTATTCTTTTCAAGGGACTGTAGATATAAGCATATCTAGAGC